GGAAGGAATATCTGTCTGACAAAGTAGACTTTCCTTTTTCTTGTTCTGTAGGTGGTGAATGCCGTGATGTGGTTCTTGCTGTTGTGTTCTATAGTTTCTAGTCAGCCGCCGTAAGAATAGGATGCTGGAGTGGATGGGCTTTTGATCTGATCCAGCAAGATTCTTCATGAGTTTAGAATGTATAACTTATGAGGGGTTCTGATATGAAAGTCTGAAGCACCACATTTTATTCCCCCACAATTTTAGTCAAATTGTGGGATCATTCTTTAAAAAGGGGGGATGGTTAGAAAAGATGGTTGTTGTTGTTGATTACCATATTGGCCTGAATATAAGCCTGACTTTTCCCCCCAAAGGCCAACCGTGGAAAGTTAAAGTGCGGCTTAAACTCGCGACCTTACAAAAATCAGCTTTTACGATCTCGCTGCTGAAACAGACATACGGTAAAACGGAACGGGTGTGAGTGCCTGCGGAATTTTAAGGGAGTGACTTATATTCAGGTGCGGCTTATATTTGGGCCAATACGGTAATTAATTAATAGGCTTCTTACTTGTCGAAGTGTCCTGTAAGTGGTTTATAAGTAAAAAACAGGTGATAAATAATATAGTCACACATAATTAAAATACACAATAAACAATTGCATCAAAACATAAAAAATAAGCATCCACCCACAACTAAATAATCTACGATAAACCATCACACCAAAACAACATAATAGTTAATTAAAACAGGAGATTGGGGGAACGTTTGTCAAGATAAGTGTATTCCCAAGAGCTAGTTGGGGTGCCAATACTGATGGGGGTCTCTCATATTTTAGCAGGCAAAACATTTCCAACATGGGGTGCCTCTGGCCCTGTTGTAATTTGGGCGTTGTCTTAGGAGCAGTGATGGCACAAGGTTTTCTTATGCTCCATCCTTAAAGCCTTCCACTGTTGCTAGGTAGCAATTATTTTAGGTCATTTGTCTATTTCTGATGTTTAGGCTGGGAGTGTTTCTTATGTAACCAAAATGGCTCCACCATGCACAAGAGGGAGGTATCAATAACTTGATGGTTTGCAGAAATAGTGTGTGTGTGTGTGTGTGTGTGTGTGTGTATATATATATATATATATATGTGTGTGTGTGTGTGTGTGTGTGTAGGAAAGGGGGCAGAGAACCCCACCAAACAACCAGTGAGAGCTGAGAGTGTTTGGTAGCTATGGAATGTTGACTGTGGAATGGAGTGTCATGGAGGACAACAAGAATATTTCACACTGCAACATTTTGTTGCAGGTCACACAAGTGGAAGAATGTGGGTAAATGCAGCAACTGGCAGTGATTTGCTTTTACAAAGGTTACATGAACCACATAAAAAACCTTAAAGCAAATACTGTAGATTTTTGTTTTGTTTTGTTTCGGTAGTCTCCTGTTTCAGAATGATTACTTGTTTTGAATAAGAGTTGCAAGAGAGGTCAAATAATTAGTTGGTGGTAAGAGAACATGATTGTTCACTAAGCCACTGGAAATAGGTGCCACCTGATACGTAAGTATGTGCTCAAAGCCAACTTACAATAGAAGGTAAAGGATGCATCTGATCCAAAACGTGCTTCAACAAACCCTATCTGAAAAACCTCGTTTGTGTTGGCCAGATGTTCACTATTTTCTGGGCTGCAGTTTAAACAAAATGTGCGCTTTGAGTTCATTACTCAGGTCTTGTGCAATCTTACAAATTAGAAGCCTAATCTGGATGTCTTTTTTCTTCTTTAACGTGCCTTTAAAGAAAGGGTTATATATTTATCTTCCTGGCAAGGTACTGACTTTATCCTTTCCTGGCCATAATGCAACCAATTTTTAAGGTCAGGGATCAGCGGGGAGGGCAGGAACAAATGATGCTAACAAGAGGAAACAGGAAGAACTGAGGTCTTGCTTTCAATCTGTCTTTCATTATTCCTTTATTGTAAAATATTCTTTCAATTAAAGGCTGACCTGCAGCACGGCGTGCACACACCCATATCTTAATCATTAGAAGGCTTAATGGATTCAAGCTTTATTTTGGACAGTTCTGACGTTGCTTATCTTTTTTCCTGTTTTAAGATTGCAATTCTTTATTGCTGATTTGTAAAACTATGACAACAGAGGAAGGCAGTGTTCTTGCTTGACCCTTGCAGTGACGGTGCTTAGTAGGAACTGTGTTTTTCCTGGATATTTTTAATGGAGTAGCTACAGATAAAAAACAAGAACTCCCTTTTAAAGATACGTCATGTAATGGGAAATGGGACAAGTTGTTAAATGCTGCCTTTCTGCATACGATATTTTATTGAAAGGTTTTGGGTTGGAAATAAGGAGGGTATACTTGATGAAGACCGAAAGAGGTCATTATTTTTGATCAATGAATCAAACCACAAGTAAATATTTTGATTCTTTAAACAAACAGATTAACTTTTGAATTCTCTTACAATGTTGGACATTATCTCTAGCAAAAATCTTTGATATGCACGGGCTAACTTTCTCAGTGATATAACTGGTTTATTCTTTTAATTGGAAGCGTTGGTGTGCTTGAACCTAGGAACAGCAATCATTCCTTCTATACCACATTACAGTATATTTGATTTGAAGATAATATATTGCTTTATATGAAGAAAATGCATGACAACACTAGATGCTAAAGGGCATTGGTGTATTTTGCCGTTAGCAATTCATATGGCATATTGTTGAACGTTCCATATTGAGCGCGACATTTAATAATGTCTGTTTGGCTTCTCCTTCCCTCCAGCTCCTTCCAGACATAAGAGACTTGATTATGATTACTTGCTAGTTTGATATACTCTGCATGTGAGCAGAGATTATTATTTCACATTTTCAGGACAAAAGCATGCATTGCAAATATGTTCTGATATGCCCTACTTCAAATGAAGCAATCATTTTTTGTCTATTGCTTGGTGAACTTTGTTCTTTTAATTTAGAGCAGTAAATGTTTTGGATAATAAAAAAGTTATATTGATTATCGAGGGCAGGAAAATCACATGCAACTGGAAGCAAGTGTTCCCCACATTTTATAGGTTTGTGTTTGGTTAGGGGTTGTTTTTTTTTGTTTTTGTTTTTTGTTTTTGCAACGCCTGTGTAGGTGTAATCAACACATGAATTCAAACACTTAACGTTATGTGGTGTGGCTCCCTAAGAGGTATGGAACTAATCTTTTCTGAGAATCATACTTGGGCCATCTTACATGGAAATTCTTCCGTTGCCCATAGATGTGCAATGAATAATTGAAGTTTGTGTTGTTGTTTTTTAAAAAGAGGTGACAGTGGCACTATGCAGCTAGGTAAAGGCACAATTTTCTAAATAAATGCCATGCAAATCCTATTACGATGAAAACAGCAAGGTTTAAATTTGCCGCCCTACCAAGTCAAAATATTACCAGCTGCCACTGAGGAAAAGCAAATGAGTTTGATCTTTTTTTCATATGGGACAGACAACATTATATTAGAGCTCAGGTTGGCCCTCATATATTCTCGCTCTCCCTTTACTATGTAAGCTTGTGAGCAAAGACTGGTGTGAGGCTGTGTGCGTGTGTGTGTGTTACAGGGCCTAGCTTACATGATATTTAAGAAATTCTGCCAGTATTCATCTGTTCCCTTCTTAATATTTTCGTCCCACAGAGGAACAATTATTTTATATGAATGTAATCTTACATTATTGAGATATAGTAAACTTGTCATATTCTTTCCCTGCTTGATTACTTCAAATGAGGATTCAAATGAATTCTCCTTATCCCTGGGTGTATCTATTTTATGTCATACGTGGCACGCCATATATTTGTGGGGAGCGATAATCTGATGCCGTGTTTTTGTATTCTGTGCCTTGTGCAGGTTTGTATGCTTTACGGAGAGTACTTGGGGAGAAAGCAAACCTCTTGGATGAGGATGTGTCTGGATCAGTGATAATTACTCGTAGCGACTTCCTGCAGGCAGTGAACAACGTCAGGCCCAGTGCCATGAGGGAAGTGGCAGTTGATGTGCCAAAAGTAAGTTTTGCCCAGTACAATATTCTGAAATAATTATTCAAACATAGGAAAGCCACAAACTTGATAGCAGTCACTGCCTGATGACAATTGTAGCTCAAGGGAGACATCCGATGCCCTTTATATGTGTTGTGGGAGGGGGGTGTTATTGGTTTGTTGTTGTTCTTGAGTTTATTATGTGTTTTGTGGTTTTTAATATTGCAATTTTGCGTTGTGAACCGCCCTGATCTACTGATGAAGGGCAGAGATTTATTGCTGCTGCTGCAATGCCATTTTAACTCAGGAATCTTCTGCCCTGGGTGGTTGTTAATTTTGGGGTTGGCTCCAGGTTCGATGGGGCTTCTCACAGACGCTGATATTCGTTTTCCATGACAGGCTGACATGGCGATGGCAGCAGTGCTCTGGTAAGTGGAATATTGTGGGAAACTGAAAATGGCAGTGACTCCCAGATTCACATTTCTGGTGCTGATTGGAGCCCTCGGGACATTTGTTTGTTTGTTCGTTTTGTTTCTAAAGGCAGGCACTAGCAGTAGACCCTTCTGGGCCTGCAGCAGCTGCCTGGGTGTGCTGACACTAGGCCTTGCTAATTCACGAGCCTCAGTACAGTCATACCTTGGGTTACAGATGCTTCAGGTTGCATTTTTTTGGGTTACAGACGCGCCAAAACCCGGACGTACTGGGACGGGTTACTTCCAGGTTTCGGCGGTCACGCATGTGCAGAAGCACTGAATCGCAACCCATGCGTGCGCATGCGCAGTGCTGCGGGTTGCGAATGCTGCGGGTTGCAAACGTGCCTCCCACACAGATCACGTTCACCACCCAAGCATCCACTGTATAGTAAACACCTGATTCTTTTGCTCTCCTCTTCTGGTTTGACTTAGAAGAAGGTATGGAGGAGAGGGTGGGGAAGGCCAAGGGGTGGGCTGTTACTTACTGAGATGACTAATGAGTACAGTTATTTTAAAATAAATTAAAAAATTGTCCAGTAGCACCTTAGAGACCAACTAAGTTTGTTCTGGGTATAAGCTTTCGTGTGCATGCACAGTTCTTCAGAAGTGTACATGCACATGAAAGCTTATACCCAGAACAAACTTAGTTGGTCTCTAAGGTGCTACTGGACAATTTTTTAATTTATTTCGACTGCATCAGACCAACACGGCTACCTACCTGAATCTAGTTATTTTAAAAGTTCACCTCGTGTTATTCAGATCAACCATGTCCATCCTGAACTCTGTTAATAACCAGTTACCACCTCCCTTCTTTCTCTCAGTTACGTCTGCTTTCCACTCAACAGTGCAAAAATAGTTTTGAGTTTTGAGCAGCTTTAAGGCATCAAGCCCTATTTCCCCATCATCTCTGTAAATGCAGTGGAAGCCTTTTAGTGCAGCACTGGTAGAATGTGATTTTAAACCATGTGTGTACTTGTAACAGCTACTGCTTTTTTGTGTGTGAGTGGAATACTTCTATTCTTCTACTCTACAAAAAAAATCTCCTACTGATTTATGATGGGGTTGTTTGTTTTACAGGTATCCTGGTCAGACATAGGAGGGCTAGAAGATGTCAAACTGAAATTGAAACAAGCAGTGGAATGGCCACTGAAGCATCCCGAGTCTTTCATTCGAATGGGGATTCAGCCACCAAAGGGAGTACTACTCTATGGACCTCCAGGATGCTCAAAAACCATGATTGCAAAGGCATTGGCCCATGAAAGTGGACTGAATTTCTTGGCAGTGAAGGTAAATGGCATTTCTGGTCTTAAAGCAGGACATTATAGGATATGTGTGGAACAAGAAATGCTGATACACCTGCGCTTCTTGGTAACTTTGTGTTGGCCTGTGTCTGAAGTGACATGGGGGAGCTGTTTCTGCACTGGAAGCACATGGCATCCCTCCTTTGTCCTACTTCGGACAAAGAAAAGCAAGTCACTTGCACCTTCCTGTTTAACTGATGCACTTTGAAGCAATACTTGTATCCAGTGTTCCTTCTATTCAGAGTAGACCCATTGAAATGAATGGGCATAACTAATTTAGGTCCGTTAAGTTTCGTGGGTCTACTCCAATGAGAACGTAGTTGAATACAACAACTCAGTGTGTGAACGGCCTTTGATTGTTTATTAATTTATTTTATTTCACAAAATTTATATACCATTTGATTGTGAAGAAAAAGACCTCAAGGCACCTCACAGAAGCAGTAAAGCTATCAGTAAAAGCTGTTTAAAACAGCTGTTTAAAACATTCAACTAATAATTAAAATTTGCAGTAAGCTAAAATGTTGCCTCTAATTGCAGAAACTTGACTTTGTCCCTCTTTAACTATTTTACACAAAAGGGACGCGGGTGGCGCTGTGGGTTAAACCACAGAGCCTAGGGTTTGCCGATTGAAAGGTTGGTGGTTCGAATCCCCGCGACGGGGTGAGCTCCCGTTGCTCGGTCCCTGCTCCTGCTAACCTAGCAGTTCAAAAGCACGTCAAAGTGCAAGTAGATAAATAGGTACCGCTCCAGCTGGAAGGTAAACGGCGTTTCCGTGCACTGCTCTGGTTTGCCAGAAGCGGCTTAGTCATGCTGGCCGCATGACCCAGAAGCTGTACACTGGCTCCCTCGGCCAATAAAACGAGATGAGCGCTGCAACCCCAGAGTCGGCCACGACTGGACCTAATGGTCAGGGGTCCCTTTACCTTTAACTATTTTACACAGTACATAGACTGTAGAATTGGCTACAAACAAGATGTAGAGATGGCAGCCCACATGGGTGGGTGGCTTTAAGGGGGGGTTATACAGATTTATGGAGGTTGAGGCTATCAATGGCTGCCCTCCAGTTCCTGGGGAACAGGAGTGGTTCAGAGTTCTGTTGTGCTCGTGACTTCATGTAGACTTCTGGTTGTCCACTATGAGGACAAGATGCTGGACTAGATATGGCTTCTGTCTGAACCAGCAGAGCTCTTGTGTTCTTAGATGGGATTAATAATTCCTACTCATAGGTTATACTAGGCTACATGCAAATCTGAGTAACAACCCCTTAATTGCCAGTTTTTATAAACAAAAGCAAGTGTTTTTGTGCAGAGAAGTGCCCTTAACCCTTTCCTGTCTCTACTATTTTTCTGCTGGAATTCCCCCTGTTTTTCCTCCTGGGATAGGATTCCAGGTGCATATGGGATGTAAACATAATTGGAAACCTTGGCAGTTGGTTGGGAGGCAGGGGGTTGGAGTGGAAAAACAGTACACAGGAAGAAGGTTAAAGCATTCCTTTGCTATTTCTCCATACAAGAACACCCACTGCCAAACTGCTTTTGTTTAAAAACAAGTTACAAGATATGAAAACTGTGTGTAATGTGTTGCTTGACCTCGGGCTATCAATCCATAAAAGAGAAGTGTTAAATAATTAGGCCTTTCTGATGTTCTAAACGTACAGGAGTGCCAAATGATCTAGCACTCTCTGGATTTTAAGAATACTTTAGAAACTAGCTGGCAAAACTTGTAGTGCCTCAAAAGAGCAAGAACAACATTTATGCAGGCAGAAGAGAGTCAGCGACTCCAGCGTATTATTTGTATTTAGTAAATGTGTCCAATTGCGGTGGAAGGTTTTTTGGTAGAAAATGTTCTTGGTGCCTTATTTTCTGTTTTAAATAAGATCCTTTCAGTGTTAGCTTCTCTTTTTTTCCTGATTAGCAATGATTACAAAAATATACAATGTTGTCAGAGTTCTGACTTCATCTTGGCGTTTTCTAATGTCCTGTATCCCTTTTCGGATTCCGTTCCATGGCTCTCTGCCCTTGACATGTGCTTAAGTTTGGTTTGTCATCTGGGTCAAGTACGTCAAAATATTTTCCAGTTAAAATTTCCTCCGCCGTTTTTCTCCTTCCTCCTGGCTGCAGCAGTTAAAATAGATTAATGAGGCTTGGAAATCTTGCTGCTCTGCTTCATGAGCAACCATCACTGAAACCCCAGAAGGAAACTGGTTAGTGTTCCGATGAGGCTTTTTGGCAGATCCTCCTTTAGCTATTGTTTAGTAAGCAGAAGTATGAAATGTCACTCTGTGATCTGTGCTGATTGAGTAATAGACTTAAAAATTTAGCACATATTGAGCTCCATGCTGCCAACTCATTTATTAAGCAGAGTGCAAGAGAACAGGAATAGGGCATGTAGCTTTAGCTATCCAGGGAGCTGCACCAAAAATGCAGACCTGAGATGGTGTTTCATTCTTTACTTCCACAATCACAAGGATTTATTTCAAATGTTGCACTACTTAATATAACTCTTAGCGGTTTACATAAAAATAATAAAAATACAACAACATTTTAATAAAGTCTCCTGAGAACTTGATAAAAACAAAACGCAGCTGCATTTCACAATAAAGCAGCCATGCACAAAACAGGAAAATTAAAAATTAAGAGTCAGAGTCCAGGAAAGCTTGGGTAAACATGTATATTTTTAGGAGGCATTGGAAGGTCATTACTGTCTGAATCTCAGAGTCTTGAGATTCAGAGTAATCTCTTTATATGGACGTGTATTTGGTATGCTTATAAATTTATATTTGTAAAATCAAATATAAATGATTGCAAAGAAAAGGAAGGTCATTACTGTCTCTGCCTCATTAATTTACTGAAGGTAGGGGAATTCCAGGTGGTAGGTGCTATCACTGGGAAGACCTGCTTCCATGTGGTCACGCAAGTGGCAATCACTAGTCATCAGGATTGAGGGGGCTTGTGTGTGGTGCCACGCAACCCAGAAGTCAGCGCCCTTGCTAATCATGGAACATCCAGCAGGGTCTCCTTGGAAGATCCTGTATTATAGGGTTTATCTCTGATTAAGTAGATATTCAAAAGTTCTTCAAGGTAGAATTCTATGTGATATGACAGATTTCTTTAAAGCTGTGTATGGCATAAGGAAAATGTATGTGACTCTTTTCATGCAGGGCCCTGAATTGATGAACAAATACGTTGGAGAATCTGAACGTGCAGTCAGAGAGGTAAAGTGTTATTAATTTAACTGGAATATTAAGTGCACATGTACAGGGATGTATAATACAACTTACTGTCTGTTTTGCTACATTATAGTCAGGTTTTTTTGTTGCATCATGCAGTCATTGCTTTGCAGTAACTAGTTTTCACAGGCTTTGAATTATAGCAGTCTTCACTGCTTACTGCTATATGTTGATATGATGAAGTCAGCTTGTGTATGTATTTGCTAAGAGTGGGGGGTGTTCTTGGAAGCTCAATCTGATATCTCTGGCCCTTTCTTTTTCCTATCCAAACTTACTAGGGGCCTGCAGCAGGATGGTTTTGCTGTGGGTTCACTGAAGACCTTTGGCACTTTCATAGCACTATCCTTGGCACAATGATCTATGGGGAATATTCGCTTCTAGATTATTTTACTAGGATATTGCTTGAACGGATACATGCCTCCAATGGAGCATTGTGCCCAGGATGCTACTAAAGCACTGAAGGGTCTATTGGAGACTCCAGAGTGAGACCTGGCCGCCGCCAGGTAAGTTTGAGGAAATGGTGTGAGGCAGCATGGTGCCTTACACAGTGGGAGTAGGGAAACACTGGTTTCGGTTAAATTAACTTGTGTGTTTACTGTGATCAAGACTTTAATTGTAATTTGAAAGGTGCTTTTTACAGTCTTCTTTTTCTTAACAGCAACAATGTCATTTCACAGGAGGGAATTGTAGAGTTGAAAGATGTAATTTGCAGAATGGCCTACATCAATCAGGACTTTCCCCTCTATATATGAGAGGCCAAGCTATCACTGGGGCCACATGTCTGGAGAAAGGAGGCGGATAGTGACAGCAGCTGCCAGCTGTGACCACAGTGATTCTTCAAGCTGATGGGGGGGGACGGGACAATGCTGTTGTAATCATTGACCTGATTATGCTGCTCCCATTAAATATTATTAGTATATTATATATCATATCTACAATATATTACTTACAGTGTACATGCATATTGTTTGTATACTCTGCTTGTTTAATTAAAGCTGATATCGGCAGACTGTATAGTCGAAATTATTATTTGGCAACAAAAGGATTTTGTAAGCAGTAATCGATACTAAGGGTAGAATTCAACACTGCACTTTTACGAACGTTATGTCTGCACAAGC